AAAAAAAAAAAAAAAGAAAGAAAGAAATTATAACAATTTAGTGTAATCGTATGGTTTAGAATACATGCAAGAATTATGTTTACCGAATAAACAGGAATTGAATTTGCAGATTTTCTATACTCTATGTTTTAGATTAGTTGCTCAGTTAATGCAAAGACTTAAAGGGATAATAACTCTTCGTTTTGGCCAAAAAATGAATTTTCCTGGAGTAAACAACAATTTTCCCATACTTACCAATGGTTAATGAATCCATTTTTACATTCAAAGTTAGTCCCTGGTTTTTTTCTAAAAAGTTTGGTTTTTTGTTAAAATCTCTTAAGAGATTATAACTGAGTACAGCCATCAATGGAGGTCACGTGATCTGAAGACAAGCTTAGATATCAGAATAATAGCTATAACTGCCGTTTTTGTGGTTAAACAGAATATATTATATTTCTATGAGTTGTTCACAATGTTTTTATTGTGAAATATAGATATCATACGAAGAGTTATTATCCCTTTAAGTTGTAAATTACATGGATTAGAAAGGTTAGTGTAATCCTGGCCTGAATAATAATAAAAAAAAAAAAACAAGAGTTTGCAGGCTATGGAAAAATACAAGAGTAGTTATAAAGTTGCTAGACCTGGCTGAAAGGAGATATTATTTATCAGTTAACTCAGGAATTTTCTCCAAATATGTGGTTTCTGCAGTAGATACAGCTCAGACAGGTGTGGTGGAATTACTCATTCTCCAACATGGCTTACTGCAATATTTTACCTACCCTCTTTCACAGGCTCTGGAATACATCATTGCATTGCTACCTAGGACTGGGTTCCCATGTCTAATAATAATAATAATAATAATAATAATAATTTATTTTTCTATGGCGCATTCCATTAAAAATCTCAATGCGCCTTACAACATTCACTTAAAAGAGCTAAATAACACAATACTAATATAAGAACACATTACAATTTTAAAAGACTAAGAACTAATTTAAAGAACCAATTATTCATATTCTAAAATGATAAGAACCTAAAGTGACAACATTTAAAATTAATCATAAAATTACAGTACACCTTATTAAAAACTAAAATTAACTATATGATAGTTACTGATAGGCTATTCTAAAAATATGAGATCGATCTAACAGGATTGATCAATCTCTGAGGGGTTTCTCCCAAAATTGCTTTCAGCTTAAGCGGCTTAGATGTCTGGCATGTCTACTGAAGCTGCTAAATGATTATTAATCACTGCCTAGCAGCTTCAGTAGGCGGGACAGACATCCAAGCTGCTTAAGTTGATTGCAATTTAGCGAGAATCCCCTTGTAGGTAGATCGAACCACAGTTAGTACGATAGGGTCTGGGAATGGTCCCTAGGTCAAAGGCATGCTAACATGGCTGTAATTCCTCCTAATTACCAGATATCATGCACCTCTTTTTACTGCTCCGATATAGTCCTACTTGGCCGGATAGGTGTAACCTTCTCATTGCTCATTGTGAGGCATATATTTTATTTTTCACCTTTCACATTTAACCAGTCTAGATTACTGTACCTGACTAAATTGCTAGAACTAAATTGCTAGGCTGATTGTGGTCAATGCTTGTAATTGCCAGACATCAGACACTGCTCTCTTTAAACAGTCTACAAATGGCACATAAAAAGGTGCAACCTATTAATAAGTTGTTTTCAGACAAATGTATACCATGTTGAGGACCAGTGTTGGGGATAGTTGAGACATTTAGTGCTTAGGTGAAGCATGGCTACATTTATGTCTATGTAATTATTCAAATGGACCCTGTAGTAGGGTTAGGTACATGTATACATGACAGGTGAAAACGTTCACACCCTTCTGGCCTGAAATTATACCTATGACAAGCTGGGCATTGGTTTCTTTCAAGAAAAAAAAATGAAAATGAAAAAAAGTGAACGATAAAAAAGAAAAAGGGGAAAAGCAAAGTAAGTGGGAAAAAATTCACTGCAGATGAAATGGACCAGACCTAGACAAAAAGCCAAATTAAAACTTGATGTGAGCAAATTACTAGTATGCACTCTGCGGTCTGCAGTAAAATTCTCCAAAGGCTAGTTTAGATGTAAAGCAGACCAAACGAGATCTCTTAAACATGTAACAGGTAAACCTGTTGAGGTGTGGTGGAGGCTACCTGCAGTCTGTCTCTGACTCATTTGTATCGCATTAATTAAGGTGC